TAGACTTGCAAGGACTGTTGCTTCCTGATCTGACCAGCTTGGGCAAATTGGCTCTCTTTATGCTTTCTGCTAATTGTCTCAAGCTGCCTGGCCCATAATGTTTATTTCCACTGACCTTGGTTGAAACACCTTAGGAGGAAGAACACACGCTCACTACAGAAGTGGATCAAGCTGCACAGCCCTTGTGTCCTGTGTTACACTACCCACATTTCCCAGGCTGCAACTTCATCTCTAGTTATCCCACAGAAAGCAAAACCAACCCACACTACCAACTCCACCGCAGAAGACAAATAAACCCACAGCAAACCACAGGTGTGTGCATCGCAGGAGCCAACAACCCAAACCACAGAGAGCAAAGAGTGAGAACCCAGTCACACCTCTGGCTAGCTGTGGGGTTTGGAGTGCCTCACACTCCCAGCCTGTTTCAGCCACAGCTGCCTCTGCTCCAGGTCTCTCTGCCCACACACCCCACACCATCCTCCAAAGCACCAGGAGATGCCATTTTGCAGCCTTAATGCAGATTTGGTCCTGAGAGGAGCATTATGCTGGAGGAGGAGCCAGAGTAGAGTCACCTTCCATGGGTGTTACATACAGAGCTCAGTCTAAAGTCCCTAAGGTAGGCTTTGGTCATGGTCAGGTTATAAATGCTGACTTGGGAAATGCCTTATTTGCAATGTTGCTGAGTAGAACTGCTGCAAACAAGAGGAATGGCTGCTAACCAACAACACAATGCCATGTCCCTCTGAGTAACCTGATCTGTCAGCTTTGCCATATGCGAATGGATGAAGACCTTTTATTTGCCATGGGCTGAGTCTCCCTTAAATAAGTCTCTTTGATGCCAAGCTGAAGCAGAGCCAGTGTGGGGGGAGCTGAGTTCCTCAACACAGGTTGACCTGTGGCCCTTCCTTTTCTACTGCAGTAGAAAGCTTCATCTCTTGCTGCACATGATCTCTTGAGGGCTTCAACCACTTTTTGGTTACCTGTAGTCCTCCTCCCTCCTCATTGCCTGCAATAGCTGCAGGGCTAGATCTTCCATTTGCCAAATGCTTGCTGGAACCAGTTTTTTCTCTTGTGTCCAGTTTGTTCTTGCCTTCCTAGGAAAAATCTGTTGTGCACTTGGCCATTTATCTACTTTGCAACTGTGACATGATGTGACCAAGTGTCTGAAGCCACCAGTGAGTGATGCTGTTCAGGATTACAGCAGAATCAGGTTCCTACAGAAATCAAAGGGGGTTTAAAGTCATACAGGTCTGAGGTGACTTTCAGACAAAGCCCTCAGAAGGGTGAAACTTGACTCTACAGGGCTGTGTTTGCATTGGTGACTAGCCTGGTGACTCCACTTCTGCTGAAGGTACTCATTTTAGGGTTGGGCAGAGAGCAGAATCTCTTCTGTCCTGATCATATGTGTGTGTTTAAATGTGAACCTGAACCACACAGAGGGGCTTGGCTCCAATAGTGTGACCTTCCTTGGATCCTTCCTTGACCATTGCCATGTGTGGTGACTGGGGCTTCCCAAGAGACCTCTGGCACTAGATGGGCTTCAACTGCATTTATGGCCTTAGTAAGCCTGACAGAAGGAGGGACAACTTACTTTTGTTTGGAGAAAGGTGCAAATTGAGAAACCTAGACTGTATCCTCACCTCTCTACCTCCAGGTGTGCAAACCCAGAGGGATTTAAGCTGGACCACAGCAGTTATGAAAGATCAATCCACTCAGCCTCAAAGCTTTAAGTAAATTTGGCTGCAGGGCTTCACTGAGGCTCAGCTTTTAGCAGTAACATCTCAAGGGGTTTGCTGCCAGTCTATTCCCTTACCCTCAGTACCTTGGCTCCCTGCTCACATCTATCAGCAAATGCATCACATCTAATGCTTTCTTGCCTGTCTCTTTCAGAACACAGTCTACAATTAAATTTTTAAATCTGTTTTCATTGTGGGGCTTATTTTTCCTTTTTTTTTTTCCTGTTAAGAGAACAGGGGATACCCAGATTTGATGTGAGGTCTTAACCTGGAATGTGCAGTGGAGGGGGATGTTTCACATCTCTCAGCCTGGTGTGGAGTTTTCAGGGAGACTGAAATGTCTTCACAGAATGCTGCAAAGGGCAATTTGGTCTATGGAGCTAACACGCTGCAGAGTAAAGCCTGAGCCACCTGCAGAGACACAACACTGGGTCCTCCATTCGCCCCTTCCACAAACCACACAGTAGGAGCATCCAGCTCAGGGCTGTGTTTTCAGGCAGACACCATCCAACAGACATGATGTGCTTGTGCTGCCTCTCCTCCCATTATGGTTTTGTACCATCTCTGTGGTGGTTATAGCATGGGAAAGTAGAGAAACTACTGAAGGTCATTTAACCTCCTTTTAGCAGGATTTTAATGGAGGGAAACAAGGAAAAGAATAAATGCTATGTGATCAGCCCATTCCTTTCAAAGCTGGCAAGTGCCTTGTGACACACCAGCTAAGGAGACAGTACAACCTGAGGCTCTTTGCTCAAGGCACTGGTGGTGCGTATGGGAAGAAAGGGCCAGCTACAGAACATGAAAATCTGGGTTGAGAGAGGTGGAGGCAGAGTAGGGTGGTGGGAGACTGAGCAGGGCAGACCTAAGAGGCAGAAAGAGCCCTCTTCAGTCTCCACCCAGACTCGGAGCAAGGAAGGAGAGTAGAAAATTCATGGAAGTCTCTGTGACGGTTACTTCAAGCAACCATAGGAACACATCAAGCCTTGTTCCTGTTATCTCCCCCATCAGTCTCTCCCTGTGGCCTCTTCAGGTTAATTGTTTAAATGGGAGATGGATGGAGCTTTGTTTGCAGCACACAGGTCTAGTGGTGTTTGCTGCAGAGCATCTTAGACAAGCTTTGTGGCAATTGAGAGAACTGGCAGGAAATCACTGATCCAGCATTAGTGACTGCTGTCAAAAATCATGCCAATAAAAACAGAGTAAAGTAAGTGATTGAAAATAGAGATAGGCCCAAATGAGCAGCTGTTTCTATATATGTCTTGTGAGCCTCCATCACTGCAGTGGGACTATGCAGATGCCAGATGCCAAGCAAAGCCCTCTGGCCATAAAACACTGGGCTACAGAGGTGTTTTTCACCAGCTTCAGATGCTTGGGGTTTTTTTTTCATATAGGTCTCTGAATTAGCCTCTTCACAGGTAGTAGAAGGACATTTCTTTGGCCAGAAACTTGTAGCTCTAATTGGCTCAGTACTTAATTCCTTTCTTTCCAGGCTTGCAGCAGTTGCAATCAGAGCAGGTCTATCAAGTGTTTCCTGTGCACTGAGGGACAGGCAGGTGAAGGGTCTGGCTCTCAATTCTTCTGTCTTGTCATTTTTATCAGGCTGTGTCCTCCCCCTTGGTCATTACAGGATAAGAAAGGCATTTTACTGTATTTTCTCAACCTTTAGCTTGTCCATCATTCCATGAGCAGGCTGCAGCAGGGAAAGGAGATAACCTGAGAGGGGGAGGGTTGGTTCAGGCCATTAGAGCCTCTGCGGTAAGCAAAGAGATGGAAGGTATGGCTGCTTTGGAGGGGGATGTTAGAAGGTCAGGGAAGGAGGGGGTTGATGACAGGGCTATGAGTCCAGGGAAAACAGAGCCGCAAAGTTTACACAGGGACCCACGGGAGAAGGCTGTGGGCAACTGCCTGTTTTGCTTGTCTTTAAAGTCAGCTGTGAAAGGGGGTGGGAGAAACATCTAAGCACGGTGCAGACAGGGGAAGAAGAGGGAGTCTCCTGTGGGCTGGTGCGAGAAGGGCAGACAGACGATCCCTAGGGGTATTTGGGGATTTGGCAGTTGCCAGATGTGCCTGCAGAAGAAAT